TCTTTCGACCTGGCCATTCGACTGTGGGTGGTATCCAGAAGTGAGGCTGACGTTAATATTGAGGTGTTGGCAGAACGCGGACCAAACTCGGGAAGTGAACTGAGGACCACGGTCCGAGACAATGTCTTCAGGAAGTCCGTAGAAACGGAAGACCTGTTCGAGGAGTACCTCTGCCGTTTCAAAGACTGTGGGCAGTTTATTCAGGGGTATGAGACGGCATGCCTTCGAGAAACGATCAATGACCGTTAAGATGGTGGTATAGTTCCTTGAGCTGGGGAGATCCGTGACAAAGTCTATAGCTATGTGTGACCATGGCCGTTGGGGAACAGGAAGTGGCTGAAGAAGACCTGCTGGGCGCTGGTGGGAAGATTTGGAGATGTCACAAATAGTACATTGAAGTGGACCACCAGAACCGGTTTGAGAAGAGTTGAATGGTGGCTGTTATCCCGGGGTGACCTGCGCTGGGGGAATTATGGACCCATTGCATCACACGCTGACGAAGGCTAGTGGGAACATAGGTGCGATCGGGTGAACATTCTGGCGGAGGAGGTTCACTGATCTGGGCCTCTGGAATTTCCGTCATAATGTCCCATTGAACAGGAGCGAGAATGAGGTTAGAGGGAATTATGGGTTCCTTGGAAGGAGGGAACCCTGCCGCTGAGAGAGTATAGCTCCGATGCCCGTGTTGGAAGCATCCACCTCCACGAAGAACTCTACCTCAGGGTCAGGATGGTGAAGAATGGGCGCGGAGGTGAAGTGTTCCTTTAGTCGTTGAAAAGCCCCAGGGGCTGATGGTGACCAAAGAAGCCTACGCTTCCCTCCCCTTAGCATGGAGGTGAGAGGTGCTGCAATGGTGCTGAAGTCCCGAATGAAACGTCTATAGAAGTTAGCAAAACCCAAGAAACTCTGCAGAAACGCTGCAGTTCCCTTACCGTCGTCGGTTGAGGCCAGTTGAGCACAGACTGTACCTTCCTGTCATCCATAGCTACCCCCTCAGCGCTAATGATGTAACCAAGAAAAGAGGTAACTGTCTGGTGGAACTCACATTTCTCCATCTTGGCATATAGCTGGTTGTCAATGAGCCTCTGAAGTACAGCCCGCACGTGCTGCACATGTGAGTCCAGGGTATCCGAATAGATCAAGATATCATCTATGTAGACTATGACCCCCCGATTCAGCATGTCCCGGAAAACATTGACTCTGGCTGTGATAGGGGGAAAACTCTGCCTCTAATGGGGGTTGATCCTGGAAGAAGATCGATCGCACAGTCACTGAGTCGGTGAGGAGGAAGTTGCGAGGCTTTGCTCTTACTGAAAGCGTCAGCGAGGTCCTGGTACTCAGGGGGTATTCTCGGAAACGGTGAATCATCTAATTCACTAATCAACTGGTCGGGGAGATGAGGGTGTTAGGCTGGTGAGTAAACAATTCCGTTGGCAGGAGTCAGACCACTGTAGAATCTGCTTAGTGGTCCATGAGATCCGGGGGTTGTGTCTCTCTAGCCAGGGCAGACCAAGGATGATGGGATTCAGACAGTTTAAGTGGTTCATCCTCCCATCCTGCCTGTGCCGCTAGAGTGCGGAATGAGAGCGCATAATCCACAGCCGTGCTTCGTCCTTGTCGCAGACCGAGTAACTATTCGCCCGGCTCCTTTCCGCCCCCTGAATGCTCAAATACCTCGCGGAATCGTCTCAGGAAACAGTCAAATGAAGGGAATGACAGCCGTCTCCCCTCCCAAGCAGCAGTGGCCCAGTCCAGCGCTCGTCCAGTTAACAGAGAGCAAACAAATTAAACCCGATTATCGTCGGTGGGTAGAACTGCGGTTGTTGATCTACAAACATGAAGCATTGTAATAAAAAGCCCTTACATCTTTCCAGGGAGCCGTCAAACTTCTCGGGGAAAGCCAGACGTGGGCTGGTCAGCGAGTGACTGGGACTGGGAACCGCTTGAGACGGAACAGATGGAGGAGTGCACGGCTCAGGCATGGTGATGCGAAGGGCATGTAGCGTCCTCACCATCTCCTCGGTGAGCGAGGTGAGTCATTGCAGCTGTTGTTGATGAGACGCTAACATGGAGGCCTGGGCAGAAACCTCGGTGGTTAGCTGATAAATCGCTGCTGGTTCCGTGTGTGGCGAAGTCTTCTGTAACGCTGAGTCAGAGGCGTGCGGATCCATTTGCAGCTTTTATTAGAATAACAGGCAGAGTAAAACAGGCAGAATTCAGTCAACAGCGTCACGTAGAGCAGGGGTAATCCAAGGGAATAAACAGTGGCAAAGCGAGGGTCGGGGCAGGCGGCAGAGAATCACACTAGTAAGAACAGTCTGAGGTAATACACAAGAGATGACAAGATAGGGGATAAACGCTCAGAAATGTAGCCGGGGCAATACAAGACTTCACAACCATAGAGAGTCTGGGAGCTGCTTAAATAGGGAAGCTAAGGGGGAACACCTGTGCCGTAATCAGCCCCAGGTACAGGGTGTCTGGGAAATGTAGTCCATGAACGTTAGTACTCGGGAGAGGGTGCCCTCCGGAGGCCATCGGAGAGAGCCACAGAGGCCCGATTCGTGACACTATTGTCTATAGCAAGAGCCCATTCTCTTTTTTATGAACTGCCTCACATAATTCAAGAAAGGAACAAGGCTACAATATCACGTCTCAGTCTAAAGAGTCATATTATTTAATCCTTATTACTATTTTTCTTTTATCACAAATCATTTATAGTTAGTTAAACACGTTTTTATTTCAAAAGAGACCTGAAGCTTACCTTTTTTCCCATTTTGTTCCGCTTTTATGTACGCTTGTCTGAGAGCACGGGGTATATTATTTAACCAAAGTTGGTAAGTTCCCTTAGCTCTTCTTAACTATAGTAACTGATGGGCAATAAAGAATAACATGTATGTTTTACTGCGTCTTTCAGGTGATGAGCAGCTGTCCTCTTCAGTGTCTTTGCACATCACAGTCCTTGACATCAATGATAACGTGCCCACCCTGTCACAAGACTATCAGCCCTATGTGTGTGAGGACACACAGGCAGGAGAGGTAACACACACAAAGACGAAGTTAAAATCTTTCAAATTTTTCATTGGCTGAGACAATATAGAGCTTTCTCTGTCTCTAGAGAGAATTGCTCGCTCATTTTGCTCACCCCTTTTAGATACAACACCTGTTTAGTTCAATGAAGTAAAGAAATCAAGGAAAGATGAACAGCTAACAATGGCCTGGTCCTGGTTAAGCTGCACTGGTGTATTGAAAATATATAAAACACACACAGAGTTAACCAACATTTTAACAATTACTAGATTTATGCATGCAAATAATAGTTAACGTATGTCCTGTTGGCAAGGATCTAACTATTTGAGATTGAACTGTTAATAAATTGAGGTACATGCACAGATTATGTGTTCTATGTATGTCTCACTTAAAGCTAATAGAGTTGATCAGTGCCACTGATGCAGATGATCCTGTAGATGGCCATCATTTCTATTTCTCCATGATCCCAGACAAACACATCAACCCCAACTTCACCATCAGAGACAACCAAGGTATGTCACAACATGAGCTTTCTAAGTTTAGAATGGCTGGTTTCACACACCTTACACCTGCACACAAACAGTAAGTGGTGCATATTTATTTTGTTGCCAATGTTAAGTATAGATTTTTCACTCAACAAATGTGAGCAGCACTGTGCTAAACAGTTTCGGCCAAGCAGCGAGTAGAGCTCCATGCTGAACTCAGCAGAAAATATGTCTGCCAGGCACATGCACATAGACAGCACTTTTTAATTACCTGTGGTAAACCTGACTGAATCTAGATGACTTTAACAGTATATAGTTATAGTTTGAAGTTATTTTTTTCACAATAACAATTTGACTTATGACTGTTATTTAAGATGAAAAAACTCAACATAGTACCTTAGAAATCACATGTACACTGCTCAACTTAAAAAAAAAAAAATTAAGAGAACACTAAATCAACACATTATAACACTTATGCCGAGTTCACACTGCACAATTTTCAAAGTCGTCGGATCACTGTTGTTTTCACACTGCATGACAATCTAGGGTAGCATTCAGTTGCTGCTGTGTTCACATTGCACGATGGATCAGCGACAGGAGCTTACACACTGCATGACTTTACAATAGGAAGAATCGCAGACAACTCTGTCTGGTTCGCAAACTACATTTCACAAAGACTATCAGCCCTATGTGTGTGAGGACACACAGGCAGGAGAGGTAACACACACAAAGACGAAGTTAAAATCTTTCAAATTTTTCATTGGCTGAGACAATATAGAGCTTTCTCTGTCTCTAGAGAGAATTGCTCGCTCATTTTGCTCACCCCTTTTAGATACAACACCTGTTTAGTTCAATGAAGTAAAGAAATCAAGGAAAGATGAACAGCTAACAATGGCCTGGTCCTGGTTAAGCTGCACTGGTGTATTGAAAATATATAAAACACACACAGAGTTAACCAACATTTTAACAATTACTAGATTTATGCATGCAAATAATAGTTAACGTATGTCCTGTTGGCAAGGATCTAACTATTTGAGATTGAACTGTTAATAAATTGAGGTACATGCACAGATTATGTGTTCTATGTATGTCTCACTTAAAGCTAATAGAGTTGATCAGTGCCACTGATGCAGATGATCCTGTAGATGGCCATCATTTCTATTTCTCCATGATCCCAGACAAACACATCAACCCCAACTTCACCATCAGAGACAACCAAGGTATGTCACAACATGAGCTTTCTAAGTTTAGAATGGCTGGTTTCACACACCTTACACCTGCACACAAACAGTAAGTGGTGCATATTTATTTTGTTGCCAATGTTAAGTATAGATTTTTCACTCAACAAATGTGAGCAGCACTGTGCTAAACAGTTTCGGCCAAGCAGCGAGTAGAGCTCCATGCTGAACTCAGCAGAAAATATGTCTGCCAGGCACATGCACATAGACAGCACTTTTTAATTACCTGTGGTAAACCTGACTGAATCTAGATGACTTTAACAGTATATAGTTATAGTTTGAAGTTATTTTTTTTACAATAACAATTTGACTTATGACTGTTATTTAAGATGAAAAAACTCAACATAGTACCTTAGAAATCACATGTACACTGCTCAACTTAAAAAAAAAAAAAATTAAGAGAACACTAAATCAACACATTATAACACTTATGCCGAGTTCACACTGCACAATTTTCAAAGTCGTCGGATCACTGTTGTTTTCACACTGCATGACAATCTAGGGTAGCATTCAGTTGCTGCTGTGTTCACATTGCACGATGGATCAGCGACAGGAGCTTACACACTGCATGACTTTACAATAGGAAGAATCGCAGACAACTCTGTCTGGTTCGCAAACTACATTTCACAACAAAGCGCATTGTTGATGAGACGCTAACATGGAGGCCTGGGCAGAAACCTCGGTGGTTAGCTGATAAATCGCTGCTGGTTCCGTGTGTGGCGAAGTCTTCTGTAACGCTGAGTCAGAGGCGTGCGGATCCATTTGCAGCTTTTATTAGAATAACAGGCAGAGTAAAACAGGCAGAATTCAGTCAACAGCGTCACGTAGAGCAGGGGTAATCCAAGGGAATAAACAGTGGCAAAGCGAGGGTCGGGGCAGGCGGCAGAGAATCACACTAGTAAGAACAGTCTGAGGTAATACACAAGAGATGACAAGATAGGGGATAAACGCTCAGAAATGTAGCCGGGGCAATACAAGACTTCACAACCATAGAGAGTCTGGGAGCTGCTTAAATAGGGAAGCTAAGGGGGAACACCTGTGCCGTAATCAGCCCCAGGTACAGGGTGTCTGGGAAATGTAGTCCATGAACGTTAGTACTCGGGAGAGGGTGCCCTCCGGAGGCCATCGGAGAGAGCCACAGAGGCCCGATTCGTGACACTATTGTCTATAGCAAGAGCCCATTCTCTTTTTTATGAACTGCCTCACATAATTCAAGAAAGGAACAAGGCTACAATATCACGTCTCAGTCTAAAGAGTCATATTATTTAATCCTTATTACTATTTTTCTTTTATCACAAATCATTTATAGTTAGTTAAACACGTTTTTATTTCAAAAGAGACCTGAAGCTTACCTTTTTTCCCATTTTGTTCCGCTTTTATGTACGCTTGTCTGAGAGCACGGGGTATATTATTTAACCAAAGTTGGTAAGTTCCCTTAGCTCTTCTTAACTATAGTAACTGATGGGCAATAAAGAATAACATGTATGTTTTACTGCGTCTTTCAGGTGATGAGCAGCTGTCCTCTTCAGTGTCTTTGCACATCACAGTCCTTGACATCAATGATAACGTGCCCACCCTGTCACAAGACTATCAGCCCTATGTGTGTGAGGACACACAGGCAGGAGAGGTAACACACACAAAGACGAAGTTAAAATCTTTCAAATTTTTCATTGGCTGAGACAATATAGAGCTTTCTCTGTCTCTAGAGAGAATTGCTCGCTCATTTTGCTCACCCCTTTTAGATACAACACCTGTTTAGTTCAATGAAGTAAAGAAATCAAGGAAAGATGAACAGCTAACAATGGCCTGGTCCTGGTTAAGCTGCACTGGTGTATTGAAAATATATAAAACACACACAGAGTTAACCAACATTTTAACAATTACTAGATTTATGCATGCAAATAATAGTTAACGTATGTCCTGTTGGCAAGGATCTAACTATTTGAGATTGAACTGTTAATAAATTGAGGTACATGCACAGATTATGTGTTCTATGTATGTCTCACTTAAAGCTAATAGAGTTGATCAGTGCCACTGATGCAGATGATCCTGTAGATGGCCATCATTTCTATTTCTCCATGATCCCAGACAAACACATCAACCCCAACTTCACCATCAGAGACAACCAAGGTATGTCACAACATGAGCTTTCTAAGTTTAGAATGGCTGGTTTCACACACCTTACACCTGCACACAAACAGTAAGTGGTGCATATTTATTTTGTTGCCAATGTTAAGTATAGATTTTTCACTCAACAAATGTGAGCAGCACTGTGCTAAACAGTTTCGGCCAAGCAGCGAGTAGAGCTCCATGCTGAACTCAGCAGAAAATATGTCTGCCAGGCACATGCACATAGACAGCACTTTTTAATTACCTGTGGTAAACCTGACTGAATCTAGATGACTTTAACAGTATATAGTTATAGTTTGAAGTTATTTTTTTTACAATAATTACCTGTGGTAAACCTGACTGAATCTAGATGACTTTAACAGTATATAGTTATAGTTTGAAGTTATTTTTTTCACAATAACAATTTGACTTATGACTGTTATTTAAGATGAAAAAACTCAACATAGTACCTTAGAAATCACATGTACACTGCTCAACTTAAAAAAAAAAAAATTAAGAGAACACTAAATCAACACATTATAACACTTATGCCGAGTTCACACTGCACAATTTTCAAAGTCGTCGGATCACTGTTGTTTTCACACTGCATGACAATCTAGGGTAGCATTCAGTTGCTGCTGTGTTCACATTGCACGATGGATCAGCGACAGCAGCAGTTTAAGTGGTTCATCCTCCCATCCTGCCTGTGCCGCTAGAGTGCGGAATGAGAGCGCATAATCCACAGCCGTGCTTCGTCCTTGTCGCAGAGCGAGTAACTGTTCGCCCGGCTCCTTTCCGCCCCCTGAATGCTCAAATACCTCGCGGAATCGTCTCAGGAAACAGTCAAATGAAGGGAATGACAGCCGTCTCCCCTCCCAAGCAGCAGTGGCCCAGTCCAGCGCTCGTCCAGTTAACAGAGAGCAAACAAATTAAACCCGATTATCGTCGGTGGGTAGAACTGCGGTTGTTGATCTACAAACATGAAGCATTGTAATAAAAAGCCCTTACATCTTTCCAGGGAGCCGTCAAACTTCTCGGGGAAAGCCAGACGTGGGCTGGTCAGCGAGTGACTGGGACTGGGAACCGCTTGAGACGGAACAGATGGAGGAGTGCACGGCTCAGGCATGGTGATGCGAAGGGCATGTAGCGTCCTCACCATCTCCTCGGTGAGCGAGGTGAGTCATTGCAGCTGTTGTTGATGAGACGCTAACATGGAGGCCTGGGCAGAAACCTCGGTGGTTAGCTGATAAATCGCTGCTGGTTCCGTGTGTGGCGAAGTCTTCTGTAACGCTGAGTCAGAGGCGTGCGGATCCATTTGCAGCTTTTATTAGAATAACAGGCAGAGTAAAACAGGCAGAATTCAGTCAACAGCGTCACGTAGAGCAGGGGTAATCCAAGGGAATAAACAGTGGCAAAGCGAGGGTCGGGGCAGGCGGCAGAGAATCACACTAGTAAGAACAGTCTGAGGTAATACACAAGAGATGACAAGATAGGGGATAAACGCTCAGAAATGTAGCCGGGGCAATACAAGACTTCACAACCATAGAGAGTCTGGGAGCTGCTTAAATAGGGAAGCTAAGGGGGAACACCTGTGCCGTAATCAGCCCCAGGTACAGGGTGTCTGGGAAATGTAGTCCATGAACGTTAGTACTCGGGAGAGGGTGCCCTCCGGAGGCCATCGGAGAGAGCCACAGAGGCCCGATTCGTGACACTATTGTCTATAGCAAGAGCCCATTCTCTTTTTTATGAACTGCCTCACATAATTCAAGAAAGGAACAAGGCTACAATATCACGTCTCAGTCTAAAGAGTCATATTATTTAATCCTTATTACTATTTTTCTTTTATCACAAATCATTTATAGTTAGTTAAACACGTTTTTATTTCAAAAGAGACCTGAAGCTTACCTTTTTTCCCATTTTGTTCCGCTTTTATGTACGCTTGTCTGAGAGCACGGGGTATATTATTTAACCAAAGTTGGTAAGTTCCCTTAGCTCTTCTTAACTATAGTAACTGATGGGCAATAAAGAATAACATGTATGTTTTACTGCGTCTTTCAGGTGATGAGCAGCTGTCCTCTTCAGTGTCTTTGCACATCACAGTCCTTGACATCAATGATAACGTGCCCACCCTGTCACAAGACTATCAGCCCTATGTGTGTGAGGACACACAGGCAGGAGAGGTAACACACACAAAGACGAAGTTAAAATCTTTCAAATTTTTCATTGGCTGAGACAATATAGAGCTTTCTCTGTCTCTAGAGAGAATTGCTCGCTCATTTTGCTCACCCCTTTTAGATACAACACCTGTTTAGTTCAATGAAGTAAAGAAATCAAGGAAAGATGAACAGCTAACAATGGCCTGGTCCTGGTTAAGCTGCACTGGTGTATTGAAAATATATAAAACACACACAGAGTTAACCAACATTTTAACAATTACTAGATTTATGCATGCAAATAATAGTTAACGTATGTCCTGTTGGCAAGGATCTAACTATTTGAGATTGAACTGTTAATAAATTGAGGTACATGCACAGATTATGTGTTCTATGTATGTCTCACTTAAAGCTAATAGAGTTGATCAGTGCCACTGATGCAGATGATCCTGTAGATGGCCATCATTTCTATTTCTCCATGATCCCAGACAAACACATCAACCCCAACTTCACCATCAGAGACAACCAAGGTATGTCACAACATGAGCTTTCTAAGTTTAGAATGGCTGGTTTCACACACCTTACACCTGCACACAAACAGTAAGTGGTGCATATTTATTTTGTTGCCAATGTTAAGTATAGATTTTTCACTCAACAAATGTGAGCAGCACTGTGCTAAACAGTTTCGGCCAAGCAGCGAGTAGAGCTCCATGCTGAACTCAGCAGAAAATATGTCTGCCAGGCACATGCACATAGACAGCACTTTTTAATTACCTGTGGTAAACCTGACTGAATCTAGATGACTTTAACAGTATATAGTTATAGTTTGAAGTTATTTTTTTCACAATAACAATTTGACTTATGACTGTTATTTAAGATGAAAAAACTCAACATAGTACCTTAGAAATCACATGTACACTGCTCAACTTAAAAAAAAAAAAAATTAAGAGAACACTAAATCAACACATTATAACACTTATGCCGAGTTCACACTGCACAATTTTCAAAGTCGTCGGATCACTGTTGTTTTCACACTGCATGACAATCTAGGGTAGCATTCAGTTGCTGCTGTGTTCACATTGCACGATGGATCAGCGACAGGAGCTTACACACTGCATGACTTTACAATAGGAAGAATCGCAGACAACTCTGTCTGGTTCGCAAACTACATTTCACAACAAAGCGCACGCGAAAAGTGATAAGTGAAATAATGCAAGATCACTCCTTTCCGAACTTCCCGCTGCCTTGTATCTTGCTCTCTCACTGGCTGCAGGTCATCGCCGATGTAGTTTTCAGTCAGAACTCATTTCACACTGCAGGCGATTCTCTCAGATTGTGTCTTTGATAATACACACTGTGTGATTGTCACTCGCGTGAACGAGCACCAGTTTGCCTCAGATTTTAGACATTTGTCTGTGATTTTTCAAAACCTGACGGTGAGTGAAAATTTGGGCTAAAATCATGCAGTGTGAACTCGGCATAAGTCAGTTAAACTTCATGGATATTAGGCCATGTCCACACGTACACGGGTATTTTTTTAAACAGAGTTTTTCCTTCTTCCGTTTAAAAATCTCCGTCCACATGAAAACACAAAATGTTGGCCAATCAGAAGCCTAATAATTTCCAGTAAGCGGAGATAACAGTGCATGCTCCGACGTCACATACCAAAATCTCCTTTCCAGGTTTCGCTGTCTACACGATAACACTGCAACCGGAGTTTTTGAAAAACTTCACTCTGGCAGCAGTTTTAAAAAATGTTCGGTTTCAGTGACCTGGTGCTGCATTTGCATGTGGACGAATGGCCAAACTGCATAAAAAAAGCTGCGGTTTTGAAAATACCTGTGTTCGTGTGCAGAGGGCATCAGTCTGTCCAGTTAGGAAGCATAAGTGATTGTGAATCAGTTTCACCTGCTTTGGTGCAAATGAAAGTGACAACAGGTTCACTGGAGAGGCAACAGCAATACAACCCCTAAAAAGGGAATGGTTCTGCAGGTGGTCTCTCCTTATCCTTCCTGACTGATTTTTCTCTAGTTGTGTGTTTTGTTAGCATCCTTCTCAATACTTGTAGCATGAGGCAGTACATGCAACCCAGTCAGTTTGCACAGGTAGTCCAGCTCCTCCAGGATTGGCATATTCATATGTGCCACCGCAAGGAGGTTTTGGTTTGGAGGTTTGATCGTTTTGTTTTCAACTTGGATATTTCATTCATTGAGATCCAATGTGAGATTTAAGTGTTTCCATTCATTTTTTGAGCATGTACCACGTGTTTACATGATGTACTGTGTGTATATATATATATATAATTGTGTCATAATCTGAAACTGTCACAGATAACACAGCTAGCATTCTGGCACGGCGGAGCACCTTTACCCAACATGATCGCACACACTACCATCTTCCTGTGGTGATCAGAGACAGCGGTTCCCTCATTCAGTCCAGTACCACCACTCTTACCATCAGAGTGTGTGTGTGTCAGCCTACAGGTCACTGCCCATCGGGTGGCATGGAAATCTCTCTGGATGTCAGCATGCAGATTTTACTTGGCCTGTCTGTTTGCCTCATCATACTTACAGGTGAGCCATTATGATAATTTGCATTAAGAACATCTCATTCAAAGTGACTATTTTTTAAAGTGGTATTTATGTAACCATAGATAGATTTCGCCATTTCTGATGAATTGTGGGATACATATGTGGTTGCATCAGTACTGAATTGCAAGACTCTCTTTTCTAGCAGAGCTCTTATGTTAATGAGGGAATATTCTCTACACTCCAAACAGGCAAGTATGACAGAATCCAGGACAATCTAATAAGCTCTCATAATCATTATACTGATAAACCAGTGTGACCACACACTAATATAATAACACTGATGCTTAATCAAGTATCAGAATGCTAATGATATACTGTATGTAAATTAAATTGCATATATAATTTGCATATGTGCAGTACTGAGTGAAACAATGAGCATTTCTCTTTAGTCAGACAGCCATTATCCTGATCACTCTGTCAGACTACATTTTGTGATAATGACCATCTGATAATACATTATTGTTTACTTGTGTTTTTAAATAGTGGTGCAATATTTGTGCTACAGTCCTGTCTTGTGTTCCCGTTTTGTGTTTAAAGTGTCTTGTTTTGTAATGTATTTGCTCTCTTTTGTTTCTGTTTTTGCTTCCTGTGTTCAGTTACTGTTTGCTTTGTTCCCTGTGCTGTCTTGTTTGCCTTCATAGTTCCCTTTGTTTGTTACCATAGCTACCCATGTTTATCACTATGACAGCGAATCACCTCCACCTGGCCCTTGTTAGCCCTCGTTAACGTGTGTGTGTGTGTGTGTATATATATATATATATAAAACCCTGTGTCTTTGTCTGGTGTTGTCCATTGTGGCTGTGTGTTGGTTTTTCTTCAGTTCTGTTCCTATGTTTTTTGGGGGTTTAGTTTTGTTCCTTGTGGATCTATTCCATTTTGTTTTTGTGATTGGCTGTGTGCATTTTTGTAATTTATTGAATAAGCCACTGCATTTGGATCCTGCTCTACCTCCTTTCTGAGATCACCAGCTTAACAGAACACCAGACCAAGGTATGGATCCAGCATTTAGGCTAATTTACCTTCGACAGGGCACATGCTCCCTCGAGGACCACATTCAGAATATCCTCAAAGGACGCTTTGTGAATTTCTGGACCATGCCCTGCAGCTATGTGGTTCCTCCTTCACAGTGGGAGAGGTGGAGGAGGCCCCTGTCATGGGGTCATTACAGAATCTCATTCCATCATGGCCTTCACTCCTGCGTCTTGTCCTGTCATGGCTGCTATTTCAGAGTCTCGTTCCATCATTGCTGCCACTTCTGAGTATTGGCCTGTTATGGCCAAGGAGGTCATCTCTGAATTCTCTGTCTGTCCTGTCACTGCCACAAAAGCCATCCCTGAATCCTTTGCTCATCCTGTCACGACCATGGAGGCCATCTCCAAACACCCTGCCTGCCATATAATGACCACAGAAGTGCTCTCTGCCTCAGAGAACTCTCCTTCTGTCCAGTTATGGCCGTAACTGCCTCTGCACCCTCCACCGTGGTGGACTTCAAATCCATATGCTCTGCAGTGGGGATCTTCAGCCCCATCTATTCTGCTGTGGAGGTCATCTACTCCACCATGGTGGTCTTTGGCTTCACCTGCTCTGCTAGCCTTGTTAATCACATGACAGCTAATCACCTCCACCTGTTCCATGTTCACCCTGGTTAACTCGTGTGTGTGTGTGTGTGTATATATATATATATATATATACACATACACCCCTGTGTGTGTTGTGCTTTATTGAATAAACCACTCAACTGCATTTGAATCCAGGAGTCCGTTCTTCGTACCTCGCTTAATACATCTGAGATGATTTGAAAGATTCCAGATCTAGTAATCGTGATAACTGATCTCTGGCTAATTTGGTTCTTCAAATGAATTTGCGGATTTGATTAAAATATCTAGATTAAGTTGTCTAAGATTAGTGCGCGTTCTGGTGTTCCCCGAAAAGGGCAGATGTATCGATACTCGAAAACATGATCAGCAATGCAGCGATTGGCTGGCGGCATGACAGCAACGTTATGACATCATAATTAAAAAAAGACACCTGACGAAAAACTTGACAAATTTCTGGAAACAGCCAAAACAACATAAATGTAATAATAGATAAATGAAATGTGCACTGTTTTTATTTTATTTTTATTTTTTTACATGATTCCTAATTATTTAAATTCATGATTTCTAGTATTTATACAGGCTTTACATTTTTATTTCAGTGTTGTAATTAGCAATTCACTTTATTTGATCTTTGAAGCAGATTTGTTACGTGACAGCATCAATTAACGTTTCTTAAGGGTCAAGATCATGTTATCTGCATCTCCTGCACTCCAAGTCGCTCCCACAATAGCTGTCACCAACCAATCCGAGATCAAGCGAAATCGTCAACAATCAAATCCAGCTAACTGAGTTAGCGACGTACGAAGAACGGGCCCCTGCTCTACATACTTTCTGAGTTTGCCATCTTAACAATTTGATATTTCCCATATTTTACTGTCTTCATTATAGTCTCTGTAGACTAAAACTCAAAAAAATCTGTCTTTCACATTTCTTCTGGGTGACTTTATGCCACTCCTGGTGCAGAAAAATTCAATCAGTTTGCTTTGTTTGATGGCTGTTTCATCTTCCTCCTGGTCACATTGCAGAGGTTTTCAGTTGGGTTCAGGTCTGGAGAATGTGGTGGCCATGATATTGTCTTGATGTGGTGTTCTACCATCCACGCCTTGATTGACCTGGCTGTGTGGCATGTTGGATCATGCTGAAGCACCCCAAATCATGACTGATCCTCTACCAATTTTTTAACGGCTACATTGTTATGTCAGCGATAAAGGTAACTCATCTCTCCCTCTCACTGCCTGCTGTGTGGAAGTCTAAGTCTTTCATCCCTTCCAAGCCACCTCTTGATTCACCTCTTCTCTGCTGAGTAAGGCATACTTATGTTCTGGCATTGTGGGGTTAGCAATGCACACTTTAGCTGTCTTGCAGGCTTATTGGGGGAGGGGGAGGAAGTTTAGTTTCTTTCAAGTGGCCACTTGGGCAGCAGAGGTGAGCCAGGTAGAACTTTTCTGAAGAGGAGGCCACGACCCTATTCAGAGGAAGAAAATGGATCAGCCAACCATCTTCATTTCTCCCCTGCTTGCCTTAAACATTAAAACTTATTAAACACATACTTAAAAAAAGAAGAAAAGAAAACAAAAAATGTCTGCAGTATCTGTAAAATAAGTAAATTGTGCAATTTTGCTTAAATTAGTACATCTTGAACTAAATTCAACAAATGTGTAAGCCTAGTATGTAGTCTGTGCTTCATAACAGTAAATTTACTGCTCTGACCCTTCTTGCGTTGAATATAGAAGTTCACAACAAATTGTCACATCTATCTTGTTTAACTCTGCGAGGTCAACCTCCCTGATTACCTTTATGTTTGATGGAGAGTGATGCACACTGCAGCATTTTCAGTAGGTGAATGCATAGAGTCATTGTCAAGTTGAAAAGTGCACAACAATGCAGGGGTGTCATCTTCTGTTTCAAAAGTTTATATTACATGTGTGCATTCATTGATAAAGCACAATTCCCCCAAACCTTCAGCACTCATTCATCCCTATATAGAAAAATGTACTACCTCCAAACTTCACTGTGGGAACCAGTCACTTCTCACTGTACTGCTCCCCCTGCAAAGCAATACATTTTGGATGCTTTTTGATTCAAAATGGACTTGGTCTCATATGACAATAGGTGTTTTCTGTGTGGACAATAACCAAACATTCGCTGCTGAAGTCTGCATCTTAATGTGACACAAAATGGCCACTCTTCTCATAGCTTTTCCACCACTAAAACATTTGCTTAGCATTTATCCTGCTCTTTTCTTGGCAAAGAAAAAATTGATGCCTGATTATTTCAGGCTTTCTGTACTTATTCTACCAAATTCACACATAAAACATCAGTTTACTCGGTTTTGACCAAATCTTAGATTGTCTGATTCGGTCTGATATCCTACAGTAGACTGATTAATATTAAAAAGCTTTTTTAGAAATAAATTAACCAGACTTGTTGAAAGCCTATATCTTCAAGAAACCCTCATATGTTTTCTGAGTAAATTCCTGAATTTGTTAAGTTTCATATGTAGCGAGAGAGAGATTTGATTTTTAACAACTTTTATTCACAAAAACATTGTCAACAAACAAAGATCAAACTCTTAGTAAAGTAAAGAAAATACAACACCACACTACAAAAAAGTAAAAATCAATTCCACTCCCACCACAGCACAAACAAGGTTATTAAAGCACCATTGAAACTCAAATGTTTCCAAGTCTTTCATTGCTTTATAATAATTAAATTCAACAACAATTCTTGATTTGACATAGGCTTAAAAAAGACATATAATATCCTGACCTGACCATTCCAGTTTTCTATTCCAATTTTCCTTATGTAAACAGACAGTTTATCTTCCCCAATCAGGAAATTAATCAACTGCCATTTCAAACTATTTTTTGGGGGTGTATCCTGCACCAAAAATAAAAGCATTGGGTGTAAATATTTCATCAAAATCTAAAAACACTTGACTCAGCAAAGCAAAAAGTGGAGTGAGTCTTACACATTCCAAGAAGCAGTGAAAAATAGTTTCCCTTAAACCACAAAAAGCACATTTCAATCATGACAACTCTCGGGAACATTTAACATGGTGATGGATATGACAATGTTAATGTATTTGGTCTTGGTGGAACAGATCTGCTACGCTGCTGCTGAATTGCTGCTGCTGTTGGTTATTGCTGTAGTTGTAGATTATTGCTGCTGCTGCAAGCAAGTACAGGAACTTGCTACTGTCAATGCATATGGCGATACAGTGCCATGAGTATTTAAGACATACTGCTGCTGCACAAATGGCATATAAAATAACCCGGTAGCAGATCTATACAGGTGGAGCTGGGGAAGGTGGAGGGTTTCAGAGAACACTGAAAGCGCGCTGCAGGAATCTCAAGTGAATGCTAGCCAGGCATGTAAATGCAAGGCAGTAAGCTCATTGGCTGCATATGCAGCATGAACCAATCAGCTTGTGCCAAGTCGTTTAACTCTGAATATCATCAGTTACGTTAACACCCCGTCAGAATATGCCATCTAGAGTTTCATCACTGAACTACATATTTATCAACAACATTGGTACTTATAACAGACACAAAAACATTTACAGCTACAGCACCATGTAATATTCTCCATTGCAAATCACCTGAATGCTTCTTCAGTGGTGGTTTATAAAGCACCCTCCAAACTGGCTTTATTTA